GACTCTCTCTCTGTGTCTCTTGGTGTCTATACATCACTGACTCTCTCTCTGTGTCTCTTGGTGTCTATACATCACTGACTCTCTCTCTGTGTCTCTCGGTGTCTGTACATCACTGACTCTCTCACTCTGTGTCTCTCTGTGTCTGTACATCACCGACTCTCTCTCTCTGTGTCTCTGTACATCACCGACTCTCTCTCTCTGTGTCTCTCTGTGTCTGTACATCACTGACTCTCTCTTTCTGTGTCTCTCTGTGTCTCTGTACATCACCGACTCTCTCTGTGTGTCTCTGTACATCACCAACTCTCTCTGTGTGTCTCTCGGTGTCTGTACATCACCGACTCTGTCTCTGCATCTATCAGAATAACTTTACTGAGGATTTACTCTGTTTCTCTATTATAAAGTTTGTGTTTTCTTCACATATTAGATCCTGAATCCCATTCCCCATTCCACACCCCCCCACCCCCGACAACCCCCGCACCACAAGATCCTTCCCAATGGCACTAATAGCCCACAAAAAGCGCATATTGGTCCCAGCACTGCTTACAGGCTGAATGGGCTGCATCCTGCTCCTAACGTCAATTTATATATGTTCACGTGTGTTCTACCCAGTAACGCACACATGTTATTGTATAATATGATATTCTACCCAGTAACACACACGTTATTGCAAATATGATATTCTACACAGTAACACGTGTTATTGTATAATATGATATTCTACACAGTAACACACGTGTTTTTGTATAATATATTCTACACAGTAACACACACATGTTATTGTATAATATGATATTCTACCTAGTAACACGTGTTATTGTATAATATATTTTACCCAGTAACACGTGTTATTGTATAATATGATATTCTACCCAGTAACACACACATGTTATTGTATAATATGATATTCTACCCAGTAACACACACATGTTATTGTATAATATGATATTCTACCCAGTATCACGTGTTATTGTATAAGGTGTAGAGCTGGATGAACACAGCAGGCCAAGCAGCATCATAGGAGCAGGAAGGCTGATGTTTCGGGCCTAGACCCTTCATCAGAAAAGGGGGAGGGGAAGGGGGTTCTGAAATAAATAGGGAGAGAGGGGGAGGCGGATAGAAGATGGATAGAGGAGAAGATAGGTGGAGAAGAAACAGACAGGTCAAAGAGGCGGGGATGGAGCCAGTAAAGGTGAGTGTAGGTGGGGAGTTAGGGAGGGGATAGGTCAGATCAGGGAGGATGGACAGGTCAAGGAGGCAGGATGAGGTTAGTAGGTAGGAAATGGGGGTGGGGCTTGAGGTGGGAGGAGGGGATAGGTGGGAGGAATGACAGGTCAGGGAGGCGAGGACGAGCTGGGCTGGTTTTGGGATGCGGTAGGGGGAGGGGAGATTTTGAAGCTTGTGAAATCCACATTGATACCATTGGGCTGCAGGGTTCCCAAGCGGAATATGAGTTGCTGTTCCTGCAACCTTCGGGTGGCATCGTTGTGGCACTGCAGGAGGCCCAGGATGGACATGTCGTCTGAGGAATGGGAGGGGGAGTTGAAATGGTTCGCGACTGGGAGGTGCAGTTGTTTGTTGCGAACCGAGCGTAAGTGTTCTGCAAAGCGGTCCCCGAGTCTCCGCTTGGTTTCCCCGATGTAGAGGAAGCCACACCGGGTACAGCGGATGCAGTATACCACATTGGCAGATGTGCAGGTGAACATCTGCTTGATGTGGAAAGTCTTCTTGGGGCCTGGGATGGGGATGAGGGAGGAGGTATGGGGGCAGGTGTAGCACTTCCTGCAGTTGCAGGGAAAAGTGCCGGGTGTGGTGGA